CTGTTTCAAGAGATGCTGGGGCAAAAAAAAGACAAAGAGAAAAGCTGAATGAAAAAACTGAAGTGAGATTTACTGTTCAGGTGCTTTTCTAAAAGTATTTTGAGGTGTTCATGGAATTGCAGCTTTAAAATTTGCACAAACATAAAAACATCACGATTGAGGACATAAAAATAAGTATTCTCATGAATTTTTTGGTACTTTTGTGTTATTCTCTGTAAATTCTGACCAACTCAGGTATAATAGTGCCACCACCATGTTTCACTGTGATGCAACTGCCCCCAACCTAGGATGCCTCTTGAGAGCAAACAGGCTTAGGTTTTTCACACCTGACAATCCAGTAGATTTGGTTTGATTGGGGACCAAAGCTGCAACATTTGTTGCATTTTCAGCTGGTGCAGTACACTTTCACACTGCACTGTGTCAAACAAACCAAACATTTAAAAATAAAACCTGTTCCCTGCCCTTGCCTGTGGTGGCGCTACACCAAGAAATACTAAAGGAAATGACATGAGAACCTCAGAAGAAGACTCGGATTACCACTTCCTTCTTCACAAGAGGTAAACAAATGTGGAAAGATGCGACAATTTAGTGGTTGTAGGATTTTGCTTTTATTGTTGGTAGAAGACCACAAGCCATTTCTCCCTCTAGTGATTTGGTTTGGTTGTTTCTACCCAGAATGCCTTGCGCTGTAGTGCACTTCCTGCTTTTGGAGCAGTCTCTGGTCCACTTGTGTCCACATATGCATTGGAACTGAGCAAGAGTTCATTTCATGTGAACTAAGTTATCTTTTTTGGTCCACATCTGAGACTTTCTTGGCAAACGAACTGCAGTTTGATTAAAGGGGATTAAATGGGTGTGAATGTTGTACCTCCTGCCATGAAGGACTGACTATAGAAGGCTGGTGAGAGAGCTTTTAATCCCTCAATTCTCTGCATTAACACAATTTCAGTTTCAACAAGGAAGAGTTTCACTGCATGAATGTGACACCAGGTTAATAAAACCTACATCCTAAAACACACTCGCCCTCTTTTTTCCCTAGTTGGTCGTGAGAACGGCGTGGAGGAGACGAGTGCGAAACTGAAACCATCTTCCCTTTTGAAGTTTCAAACGTGATGATTCAACTGAACAAAAACAGCCACATTTAAAGTTTATGATATCACTAATCAATATTTAAAGCCATCATGAGAAAATCTAAAAGATTTTTACTTTATAAATAATCAAAAATAGTACAGAGAAATCTTTGACAAATAATGACCGGCATTCTGACAAAACTCTTCCTTTGCATGAAAACTGTGGTAGTTGTAAAAAACATTCAAACTACATAAGTTACTGGATGCCACCTGCATGGAAACAGAGTATATTACAACTAGATCTAAAAGGCCCAACAAGGACATTTTTGTTTTTCCAGTTTAAAGGTGAAATCTGTGAGCATTGTATTGTTATAAAGTATTACCTATAAAGACTCAAGTCTCAAAGAGAAACAAGGTAGACAATAAGATTTATTCTAGCTTCCACCACCACACCTTAAGGTTTGGCAATCATCCAAAGCTGACGTAATGCAGAGATTCAACTTTCTCCTCACTAAACGTCAGCAAAAACACACCTCTTTTCCTGGAATTAGAGGTGTGTCTACAGTTACCACTGCAGCTGTTACTTTTTCTCTTACTAACAGCTCTCCAGGGCTCAGCCTGTTATCTTGCATTACTCAGTATAAAGAGCAGCGAGTTCGAGTTCGTTTAATCAGTATCTTGAAGGTACAGCTCATAAAACAACTGCAGCTGGTCTATCTACAGACAC